AATTCATGGTATAATAAGTCATTATCAACAATGACAATAGGCGAATACAATCTTCAGTTTAACATGCAACCTGATGTGACTAACGCAGCTCTTTGTGTGTAACAAATAGGGCAGAAATAAAAATGCTCAGATGAGCATGTAAAACAGAAGCTGCCTCTTACCTGAGACACATCCATGAAGCTCGGCCGGGCTGTGGAAATCAGCCCCAGGGTCTTAATGGTACAGTTCACCAGCTGGGAGAGAATGTCACAGGCCGCCTCTGCAGATTCTATGCAGCTGTCCACCTGATTCACCAGCAGTGATTCACCGTGTAGGTAGAAAAAATAAAAACACATAAAATGAGGAATGGAAAGATGGAGGTGTAAGAATCATTTCAGCCTGGATGTGTTAAGCCTACTAATGCGAAGACAGCTGATGCGTCATGATTGATTCTGCACCAGATGGTTTGGATTAGGGAGGGCACATATAGTTTTTAAGACAGCTGCGTTGTGAAAATTGAGGAAGAGAGGAGGCCAGAGGAGGTGAAAGAGGAGAAGAAATGGGTGACAGCAGGGAAGGCTTTTACCTTGAAGCTAACGTACTGCAGGTGCTGGGCGTGCTTCTTGATGATCTGTTGAATGAGGTCAGGGTGAGTGGAGCGCAGGTAAGATGTGGCCGGCTGATTGAGCTCAAACTCAAACCTCCTCCACAGGTCAGGGGTGTGAAAAACCTCATTCCAGCGCCAGCACACAGATGAGGCCCTGGCCCGGTCTATGAGGGACAGATGCTGGAAGATCTGCAGGACCACATGGTGGGGCAGGTTACCCCAGTCCTGTGCTGGAGACAGGGCGAAGCTGGATGGCCCCCGCTTCTGTCTCTTAGCCCTCTCCTCGTGGGAGGGGAAGGCCTGGCCCTTTGATTTGAGGCCTGTCCTTCCTCGTTTCATTCTGAAACAAGAGAGATGAGAGAATGGGAATTGTTCAAAATTTACTGCAACAACAATAGTATATGTGCTTTAAAACATCTGCAGTATCCATTTTTTGTTTTCAGTAGCATAACATAAAAGTACTGAGAGCACTATGTAAACTCATGTTCAGGTTGTGTCAGAAATGGCAAAATTCTGGTGGACTCTTCATTTTACCTAAAATTCTCCCTCTCTATATTAACACTGCTTGTCATCTCTTTAACATTGAATTTGAGCTTTTGACTCCATGCCCCATGTATAAAATCGTATAAATGTCCATGAGGAGCTTACTAAAATTTTTGTTTTTAATCTTTTCAGATGTGGAAAACACAGGTTTGTACTGACTTTGTTGAATCAAATGGTGAGAATTGTCGGAATCCCTCTTTTATTAAACTAACAGCTCTTGTGCTTCTTTTATCATTCTGCATGTACTTTATAAAACTAACAATTATTTCTGTGGAAATCCTAAATGCATGGTAAACTGTTTGTTATTCACTTGCTGAATTTGGGAACTATTGCTATTGTTTGGGATGCATTCTTTTGAAAAGGTTTTCATTATGCAATAGTAACTTGCAGGTAGTTTCATCCTCCAGTAGATCCCATGAGTTCTTTTCTGTATCCAATGTGTTACTCTTAAATTTAGGAATTTCAGCGCCCATCTCTATACGTTGATGAAATAGTCCTGCACTGTAACAGTACACTCAGTCTGTAACCTGACTACTGAAGAACTTACTATACTATAGTAAATTTAGGTAGTTTTTCAAAACAAGTGATAATCTCACCTTGAAAGTCACCACAGCTGATAGAACCTGTACTGAAGTGTCTATGGGTAATCGAGTAAATGATGGAAAACTCACCTCAAAAATCTCTTTTCTAAATGTGATGCAGAAGCCTTTTCACTCAGATTTTTTTTTCCAGTCTTGTGTCAAGCAATCCTTCACTCAGTCCCAGTACACACTGATGAAATCTATTTGCATGCATGATTCACCAATCTAAAACCTCTACCTCATCTACTCTGACATCCACTACTGAACTACTACAACGGAATGTGAGCAATCTTTTTAATTTAGATGCATCACTGGATCCTGCTTATTTCTATCGGTATTTTAAACGGGGTGTAATTTCATCTATCTTCATTTCTCACTAACCAAGCTTCAGCTACAGGCTCCCACAGCTAAATAGCCTAACTTATAAAGCCTGCTTACAGACATGTTGGTCCAGCATGAAAAAATGATTAATAAATTATAATAATTTACGACGAATCTTGATATTCTGTTAATTCTCTAACTCTGCATTGTTAATATTAACTGTACATATTGTATTATACAGCCTTATTTTTATCAACATGTTTCTGTGAAAGGAAACTCTCCCTTCACACCAAACGTTGAACTGAGCTAGAAAAACACCACCTGTAGCACCAGGAAAACACGTTTACAGAAAGCTGGATGTTTTATGATAAACTCACAACTGACCACATCCCAATACCACAACACAACCCTGCCATCTAACATGCTTTTACCGCTGTCCTCAGCTGATCTTCACCGATACATGACAAGTAAATTAAACACATATCATTTCAAAAACAGAACAAACGTCAGTGAAGTTACGTTACTTACATTGCAATGGCTTAAAAACACTTCCCGCTCGGTTTTGTTGTCTGCCGGTGCAGTAAACAGCATTCACTTGGAGCCATGGCTGGAGATGACTGGAGAAGTGCTGGCTGTTGCTGATAGAGGACAGCAGGAGCAGCTCCCATAATAAGCTCTCCTCTCGGCTTTAACGACAGCTTGACGGGCGCTGCCAGCACGTGGTACACGTGAGTGGAGGAAAACATGGATCTGCATCTGCAACCACCATCATACATGCAGGAGAGTTAGGTGGTAGACCCCATTCAAAGTCCCTAATTAAAATAAGACATTCGACTGTGTGTGTGTGTGTGTGTGTGTGTGTGTGTGTGTGTGTGTGTGTGTGTGTGTGTGTGTGTGTGTGTGCTTTGCTTGTGTGTGTTTATGCGAACGTTATTGTCATGTCGTGACCCTTGAGCAGAGAGCACAAGATACCCTGTGCACTCATTGAGAAAGTAGGTCAGTGTGACAAAGTGTGTGCGTGTGTGTGTGTGCGTGCATGCGTGTGCTTGTGTGCGTGTGTGTGTGTGTGTGTGTGTGTGTGTGTGTGTGTGTGTGTGTGTGTGTGTGTGTAAGAGAGAGAGAGAGACACACACAGAAATCTTGTTTTATTTATTCTTCCATGGAATATTACATTTTTACAGATAAAATACCACAATGTTAAATAAACGTATTACACCCCAGTTGTAATACATTTATTGTTCGGTAATAGAATACTTTTATAAGTAGAAAAGAAAAGAAAAGATCTTATTGTTGCAATGTTCATTTATTTCAAATAATGATTTGAAAAAGGATATTAGACAGCTTTGGCCACCACAAGGTGAAAAACATCTGTTAATATTAAACATTTTTCCACATGATCTCTTGTACACCACCACATCACCCACCCACATCAAGTATTATTATGGTCAGTTATAACAGTAACAGTAACAGATAACAGTAAAGTTGACTCAAAAGAACCTACCCAAGTATATATGCAAAAACAATGCATGTCAGTATCACTGTATAATTCTGCTCTGACAGACAGAATTGGTTACAGTTGCATCTTCATGTTTGCATTTCCTTTTGCACCTGCTTGTTAAAGACAACACAGAGGCCAGATCTGGTATTAACATCTGTCTTGGGTGATCCGATGGACAGCTCTAAGAGACCATTATGATTTGAGCTTCTATTGATGTCTATTGTTTTGTTGATCGATATCGTTGTGTCCCTTGGATGCTGCGCACTCACATGGATTTATGTGACGATCTCATTTTACCCTGTACTGTGTAAAACTTTCCTAACTACTTTGGCCATGATTGTCAAGCCTAAGTTGTACTGTTTGTGTTCATCAGTGGAAGTGTCTAACTATGACCTGGACGAATGAGAACATTCACAGACATCAGTGGAAGTGGTTATTTACAGTGATATTGATAAATGTGCATTTTCCCTGTAAAGATGAATTAAATAAATAATTGGTGACAGAAAATCTGTTGGTAATCAGGACTGTGGGATGCTGAAGGTTGTGTTGTCTTATGAAGCAGTGATGTGCCTGTTATATGAATAGCGACAACTTCCCTCAGAGGCCGAAGAAGAACAAGGAGAGGCTCATGGTGGATGTTTGAAATCATTTCAAAGAATAGGCCTACCGTTGTTGTATGCAAAACCTTGGCCACCACTGGGGAAAATTTATATTTTATCGTTTTTTTTTAAGTGAAAAGAAATAAATACAAACCCTGTAGCAAACAAACTTTAGAATGTGCCATACTGTTACTGCTACAATTAAAACCTTCGTTTTTGGGCCTTTTACTAACAATTGTTGCAGACCTTATGTGAAACCTAAAAAAAAAACACGTAGATATTAATGTTAGCAGAGGTTTAGAGAATCATAAGGGAAAACGCAATTTACAACAAGTAAAATATGTCCTTGTTTTTGCTTCAGATCATGCACATTTAAATGCATTTTGAATATGTGATTTGAACTTAACCACATGAAATCATGTGAGGTCCTGAAGTCAGAGTCTGCAGAGAAAGCTATTAATACTATTCTGCTACTTAGACAAGCAAGCATTTAGAAGGACTTGTTCATCTGGAGTTTCTTTTTTCTCTGCATGGTGATGTAAGATTTACCTATTGTCTTATTCATGTGGTATAGCTTTAGCTAAGGCTATCTCACCAGCTAGTTCCTATGAATTTTCCATTCTGTTTTTTTCCTCCAAAAATTAAACATTTTATGTTATTTTAACTTCTTTGCTAAGGTAAGGTTTCAAAATGACATTCTAGTCTTGGCTCACTTTTTCTCACATACTGTTTATAGTTAGTAGTTTTGGCTTGCAGGGCAGGCTATATGGAGTGAACACAGCCTGAGAGATCAGACTCAGGGCAAAATATACTGCTATTGGTTGCCATGGGACTCCGCCTCTTGGCTCTGACGACCCACTGTTTAGCTGTCAGTCACGTCGATATGCCAAGCAGAAACAAATCAAGCTCCCTGAGTTGAGATTTATGATAACAGGGAGGAAAACTCTTACATCAGCAGTCTCTGTTGTTCCTCACAGGCAGAAAGATGTCACAAAGTGTCTGCGTACATGCTAGTAACGTAGTGTAAAGAGAAGCTAGCTAGCTTGCTAGCTGAATTTAGCAACTCAGTCTGACAGGCGACGACCATAGCCTGTAGCTAGCTAACTGGTTACTTCCCCCTGAATAAGGTAAGAGCTATGCATTTTCTTTTCATCCTAACTATAACACACGGTGTGTTTTAACAGGTGGTACATTTTGTCTAGTAGGGTAAGGAAAGATACAATTTCTTATTAATATACACTGTTTTGAGAGTTTAGCTGAAAAAGCAGGCGACAACTCGGGTGAAGTTTCACTTACTGTTTAGCTTAATCAAGCTAGCTGTTAGCTTCCTTGACCCTGGCTAAATGAAATGCATGAGACGGAGCAACTTTCTTACTCACCAAACGTCACAAAACGTTTCAGATTTTTGTAGATTAGACTTTTAAGTTTACCTATTTTACCTAAATTTGCCTATTATATTTGATGGGTTAGTCCAATGAACTCAAACAGGTTTATGTTGATTTACTTTTGCAGTTTTCATTTCATTCACTTTTGTATTGATAGTGAATGAATTGTATTTGTTTTTTTAAATCATTTTCCTTAGTCATGGAGACCCAGTGCCCCAGTGCCCTGATGGTTTTCTGTCCTGTCTGTCCGATAAAAGCATTCATTGGTGTCTGCGATGAAAACCAGTCTCAAATCTGAGAAGTGTTAAATTATAATACTGGACGGTGTGATCAGATGGCAGTCATTACAACCAAAACTGCCAAAAGAGTCCATATTACCAAGCTTGTGTAACAAGGTGAAACTGTATTGGTGTGCCAAGTGTCTGTCAGCGCTCAAGAGAAGCTGACAGTTGTCATATTTCAGGTAAACACTGAGTTGGTAAGTGACAGCTGGGTTCGCTCGCTGCCATAATTCGTTAAAGACAAGGATGTTATCTGCATTTAATTCCCCCGAACTTGTCTCTTATCGGTCAGTGCATGGCGGAAATGGAGGCGATTGTAGTTTTGATGGAAGTGATGCAATGTTTCAAGATGTAATCTGTTTTTGTTTAATATCAATGGTTTGAAGATCAAAACATTACATTCGAACTGAGAAACATGAAAATAATATCCTCCCCCTAGTGGTTTTACATTGTTTACATTCTTGTGCATTGCTTCTGATTTTAGTCAAGTGAAGATGCCAGAAGTGGGAGTAGTGGTTACAGGGTGTGAATGTGAATTGGTCTAATTTGACAGTATTGGTACATCTCCAGGATCTGTCCTTTGTTTCCTCACAGGTGTGTTATTTGATTCGTTGCCAGTTTTGAACCTTAATTTCCTAGAAATTGGCAATAAAGATTCAATTCATAATTTAAAAAATGTTAAGATATCTAGTTTTCTTTAACATAAATAGTATCCTTAAGGGTTCTTTCTTTTTCCTGTTTTGGCTTCAAGGCTTAGAGTTGAAGGTCCAAAACAGCCTTTAATTTTTAGTGCAACATTTTACTAATGCATAGTACCATTTAACCATATTACAAATGTGATAACTCATCTTGCATAGTTTTTTTTTCAAGATCCTAACATGACTGTCACAATTAGTTTTTAGTAGCCTGTTTTTCATTCAAGATGGACAATAAATTTTGTACTTCTTGTGTCCTTGCAGACTAACCAATCATGACACAGAAAGTCAGTCTGTGTTCAGTCTCCCTTGGAGTGGAGGGTATGACTTGTAGCTCCTGTGTCCAGTCCATAGAGCAGCGCGTCGGGTCTCTCCCAGGAGTGATAAATATAAAGGTAAATTCAGTCTTTGCAGAGATATAGCAACAATTTCACCTTTAGTTGCATTTAGCAATTGTTTTCCTATGACGATGCAGTTCTTAAACTTTGCTGACTTAAGAATTTCTTGTATGGCACTTCTGTTTAAAAAAGAGGATCTTTATACTGTTGCAGTCTGTATTTTAAAATATAGTATTAGAACCGTAGACAGGGCAGATACGCATACATTATTATCTAGTTTCCTGCCCAACTTAATAAAGTTTTATTAATCTGACAGTCTTACTCCCTTAGGACTAGCTGGTCTGATTTACAATATATCAATGGAGCCATTAGAGATAGTTAAATTACAATAGGTGTGGCCTGCTGTTTTGTTTATTGTGTGTTTACCCCTCAGGCTTAGGTTGAATGAGAAGATAATGTAATAAGAATGTTCCAGATAGAGCTCTGCCCTTTGCAGGACTGTGACAGCAGGTCAAAATGCAATCTGTACCCACAGGAAATGTCATTTGTGTCTGAAGAGAATCTAGTGCCTGGGTCATTTTATGATAATCTATAAAGACATTCTGGGAGGAGTGAATAGATTTTTCTTGGTATAAAAGTCATTGCCTCATTCCCAACTTCCTCCCATCTCTCCTTTTCAGAAAAAAATCATTATTCCAACAGGCAGGAACAGTCACTTCCTACTAAACCCATGCTGTGGTTTGAAAGTTATGGCTCAGTCAGGTGATCCCTTCAGTGTGTCACATGTTTCCCTCTTGCTGAAGAGGGAGAGCCAAGGGTCACCATGCTGACTTAACATGCTCTAAGCTTAACAAGGCCATGTACTAATTATTTTATATTGTAAAGCTACATTGTTTCAACAAGACAGATTTGCATCGTGACAGTAATTTCAATGCAGTTAAAGGAAGTGTGTACAGTCACATTAGGCAAGAATTGTCTTTGTACAGTATTAAATGAAATCAATAAAATTGATTATTCAAATAAGCATTCTGACATTAACAACATACTTATTCCAGCATTGCATGTTTAATAGTATTATTGTCTTACTGTACTGTTTTATAAGAAAATTCTACATAGGCTTTTTTATATGCTTTGTTTTCACATAGTGACTTAGTTGAACCCATAACCTGGCTTTTATTTTGTAGGTGTCTTTAGAGCAGAAGAATGCCACCATCATATTTGACCAAAACCAACAGAGTCCAGAGTCTCTGTCAGAGGCCATTGAGGACATGGGCTTTGAATCAAGTCTATCAGAGTCCGTCACAGCCACACCAGTCTCAACAGATACACAGCTGATATCCACCTCAGGCCTGACACCTGCAGCCCAAGAGGAGGCTTTGGAGAAGCTATCCCAGATTCAGGGAGTGCTGGATGTCAGAGAGAGCCAGATGGGTCTCAGTGTCACCTTTGTTCCTTCCCTGACTTCAGTGCTGCAGCTGAGCCAGTTGGTGGCCAGCGTAACGCCTCTGGAGATCCCCACACCCAGCAGCCCTGTGCAAAAAGGCCCAACCTTGTCCCCATCCCACAGCAGGGGAGGAGGGGTGGCACTCCTGAAGTTGTGCATTGAAGGAATGACATGCCACTCCTGCACTACCACTATTGAAGGGAAGATTGGAAAACTGAAAGGGATTGAAAAGATCAAAGGTAATGTACTTGACCTGTTCATAAGCTTGTAGACATCTATTACTTCAAAGTCTGAGCCAGTAGTGATGCTGTAACACAGTTGCTGCACTATGTAGGAAAGTACGTCTTTCAGGTCACAGGTGTCATGTCATTGTGTATCTCAGTCTCTGTAGTTTCACCACTGACAGATTGCTCAGTAGGATTTGACCATGACTCATGAAATCCTTTCATTGGTATTGTAGGATTGGATTGTAGGATGTCATAGGATTAAGTTCGCTGAGTACAGAATTGTCATTGTGTAAACTGGCTTTATATACTGTCAGCTGTATATTCTAGTTTCATTGTTCCAAATTGAGCTTAGTATTAAATATTAACCTCATGACACAGTTTTACAATGATGGAATGTGCATCATGTGCACGGATCTTAAATTATATATGTGTATCTCATTGCTTGTGAAAATCTGCATGTGCAGTCACTTCCTACTCTTGTGAAATAATTTAATTTCTTTTCCTTTATGCTGTGATGGTATTTTATCTTTGTCATGTCTTAATTATCCACAGTTGTTTTAGAGTCTCAGGAAGCTACAATCGTGTACCTGCCTCACCTCATCACTGTCCAAACGATCATCGACCAGATTGCTGTTGCCGGTTTCAAGGCTTTTGCCAAGTCCAAGCCCCGCCCTCTACAGCTGTCCCCCAGTGAAATCGGACGTTTTGTTGATTCTCAAAAACCAACAGTTTCTTCACCATCAGAGACTTCAGAGGAGACGGAAATCTTCATAGACACAACACTTGTAACGCTCAGGGTGAAAGGCATGCACTGCCGTTCCTGTGTCGTTAATATTCAGGACAATATCTCTATGCTGCCTGGTGTCTCCACTGTGGAGGTCTCTCTGGAGAAGGAGAAGGCCTCCATCTGCTATGATCCTCTAAAGGTCACAGTGCCTGAGCTGCAGCAGGCAATTGAGGCGCTGCCTCCAGGAAACTTCAAAACTCAACCCTGGGACTCCTCTGGCCCTCTCAGTCCGGTATCCATCTCGCCCACACCTGCCTTGTCAGCACCTTGGTCTGCAGGAGCAACCCAGGCCAAATATGTTGCCTCACAGCCTTGTTTTACCCAGCCTCTTGCATCTGTAGTTAATATTTGCATTGAGGGCATGACATGCAACTCCTGTGTCCAGTCCATTGAAGGCATGATCTCCCAAAGGAAGGGGGTGGTTTCAGCCAAGGTCTCCCTGGCTGATCACCAGGGGGTCTTTGAGTACGATCCCCTCCTGAGCTCACCAGAGGAGCTCAGGGAGGCCATAGAGGACATGGGCTTTGACGCCTTCCTACCTGGTAAGAGGACAGATGGTGAGGTTGTTGAATCAGCCAGTTTTGTTACATATTGAAATGGCTATTTTTATTTGTGTGTTTTAACTAGAGAATCACCTGTAGATAGTCCAAAGCTTAACATTGTTGCCTCTGGATACCTCCAAACAGTTTAAGTATCTCCTCCTACAAGTGGCTTCTGTTAATGTGACTCTGCCAATGGGAGTACTTGAACTGCATGGTTGAGATATCATGGCTAACTAATAATATTTTCTTAATAACTATCTTTTCTCCACAGAGACCAATTCCCTGCTGCCTGCACTAGATCCAAGTCTCTCAAAGTCTTCGAGTCTAGCACCTGTGAAAGATAAGGAGTTTGACAGTGACCTCCACAAAGAAATCTCCCATGGACGCAACAGAGACAAGCACTCTACTAAATGCTATATCCAGATTGGAGGGATGACCTGTGCTTCCTGTGTGGCAAACATTGAACGAAACCTTAAGAATGAAACTGGTCTGTAAAGACAAAATATATTTACTTATTTCACTAATAATTAACCATCTCATTGCTTTCACTAGGAGCTAAAGAAAAAATCTTTAATGTTCTGCAGGTATCTACTCTGTTCTGGTGGCGCTAATGGCCAGTAAAGCAGAGGTGCGCTATAACCCTGAAGTCATCGACCCTGTGAAGATAGCTGAGTGTGTTAAAGAGCTGGGCTTCACCGCCTCTGTGATGGAGAACTATGAAGGTTCAGACGGAAACCTAGAACTAGTGGTGAGTGAGTGTAAACTTGTATTAACATTATGAGTTGTATTAAAAAGACAAGATACATTCAATGCAGTAATATATTTCCACAACATGAAATCCGTAAATAAACATTTTCACCAGTATCTGAGAAGAATGTTGAATACATGCGACCTCCTTTTGAGTAGATGTAATGAATCATACCAGTTCCTCACTTCATACCCTCTTTAATATATTTTTGTCCCTTTATCTACTTGTGCTCGTCTTCACCTTCATTCAGGTCAGGGGAATGACGTGTGCCTCTTGTGTTCACAAAATCGAATCCAGCCTTATGAGAGAAAAGGGGATTATATATGCCTCTGTTGCCTTGGCAACCAACAAAGCACACGTTAAGTACGACTCAGAAATTATAGGGCCACGAGACATCATCAAGCTGATCGAGGTATTGCTCCTGCCTCTGACTGTTATTTATGCATTTGTTCCGTTACTTTTATCAATGTTCCTTGTTGCTTGTCGACACCAGCTTATATTCAAACACACCAGTGAATTTGTGATTTGATCAGTGCTTTGACTATTATTTGTAGAATCTCGGGTTTGAAGCATCTTTGGTAAAGAGGGACCGCACTGCCAGTCACCTGGACCACAGCAAAGAGATACGACAGTAAGTAACTTTTTTTGCATGTTGTTTATGTTGTTTGTCTTTTTTAATCCATTTCATCAACTCTAACTTTTTTCATGCGACAGGTGTGTTTGTTTAACTGGAGCTTGAATTCCTATTATTTTTTTAAATGATGACTCAATAATTCATCTTACTTTTCTGCTGCTTTCAGCTGCTAAAAATGCTTGTACAGAGAAATCACCCCCACTTGACATTACTCAGTGGATCCTGTTATTACTTACAATATCCAGTTTCTCCATATAGCTTGGTATCACAAAAGATCTGGTGTGTTCAACCCAGTATCTAAAAAGTGTATTGGCTGCCAACCAAAAAGTCACAAAACTGTCAAAAAAAGTTGTCCGCACTCACAAGTAAGTACAAATCACTTTTAATGTGACAGTTTGACCGTATTCTATATAGCTTGGACCATTAGTGCCGAGGAAGATAAATTAAGCCTTGTGTATGTAGAATGGCTATGCAGAATATCATGTCATGGGTTGAACAACATCACCTGTTATACATCTATATACAGTATATAGGCATACTGGTACAAATGTGTTTATGTATGAACACAGGTTTCTTCAGCATTGTATGTATGCAACATTTGTGGGCTGATGCTTAATGTGGTAATTAGTTTGTCCTGCAATTAAAACTAGATCACAAAATAAAATCCATTTTTAACGCAAATGTTTTCACTTTCTAAGGTGGAGGAAATCTTTCCTGGTGAGCTTGATTTTCTGTGTGCCTGTGATGGGCATGATGCTTTACATGATTATCATGGACCACCAGATGAATGTTTCACATCAACACAATGCTACAGTGGAGGACCGCAACCATTACCACTCCAACATGTTCCTCGAGAGACAGCTACTCCCAGGCCTCTCCATCATGAACCTCCTCTCCTTCCTCTTTTGCGTGCCTGTACAGGTAAATCAGTGGGATCAACTGCAGACCCATGAAAAATCATATGGAAATTTCTAGATTTTTTTTTTTTTTTAGATTGTGACACGGGCACTTATTCAAGAGAAGGGAGGGAGTCTGAATGAAATGTTTGTGGTTCTGTGAATTTAAGCTTTTCTGTTTTTCCTCTCCTCAGTTCATTGGAGGTCGCTATTTCTACATTCAAGCCTACAAAGCAGTCAAACACCGATCTGCCAACATGGATGTGCTAATTGTTCTGGCTACCTCCATAGCCTTCACCTACTCACTGGTCGTCCTAATAGTGGCCATGGCGGAGAAGGCTAAAGTCAACCCCATCACCTTCTTCGACACACCACCTATGCTCTTTGTCTTCATCTCTCTGGGACGCTGGCTGGAACAGATAGCCAAGGTTTAGATCATTATTATTGATATCTGACATTTAAAATACCTTTTTAAAATGTTGAAATAACAGTTAGTTGGAAATTGTTTTCTGTACCTGTTTCTTCCACCCAGAGCAAGACGTCAGAGGCTTTGTCCAAACTTATGTCTCTACAAGCTACAGACGCCACAGTGGTCACTCTCAGCAGTGACAAGTCTATTCTCAGGTACTTGTTCTCTACATTCACTTTGTTTACTACAACCTTTCATATCTTTAATTGGTTTTAGATAACCGCATATATAAATGTTTGCATGGCATAACAAAGGCTGCATAAACAAGCTGTAAGTGATTTTCCACAGTAAGAGTAACACAAATATTATTGTCAGTTCCAACCGGCATTCAGATTTAATCTCCAATTTTAATCTTACCTGCCTTGAGAAAAACACACTAGCCACCCCTAAAATATCATGTTATCATAATTAGATTTTTCATTTTGTCCAGTGTTAATATCTAATGTGGAAAATTGCACTTTACTTAAAAAATGGGAAATAAAACTGGAAATGTAATTTTGATCTGACACTTTCAGAAATTTGCATTAGGAAAATTGTGCATCGTTATTTTCTGTTTTGAAAAATAGAATGACATTAGTAGTGACCAACATCTACATTGTTTGACATCCATGTGTTGTTCAGTGAGGAGCAGGTGGATGTGGAACTGGTGCAAAGGGGTGATGTGGTGAAAGTCGTCCCCGGAGGGAAGTTTCCAGTAGATGGGAGGGTCATTGAGGGACATTCCATGGCCGACGAATCTCTCATCACAGGTTGGTCACATTAAATGAGAAATCAAGTGTCTATAAAGTGTTAATTAATAGCTTTTTTACGAGTATGGTTGAAATAATATGCTAAAATGTAACTTTTCAGGTAAAGTGAGCCAATGCAAGGGATCCAATTTGTGTTAACCTGCATGCTCCAGCTTGTCCCTGGAAAGTGTCTTTTAGCTCTTCTACCATTTGAAACAATGTGAGCAATTTGCAATGAACTCAATAAAAGTAACCTGACAGATTTGCAGTATTAGTCCAAACAGGATCTGGAGTGGGTCTGAAAAATGTAAACACCAACAACCCACATAGTTCAATAAATACTAAAAATAAACTCTTTGTAATATAATTACAAACACTGTTGCATCCTCATAAGATTTTTCATTGGTGAGACCTACTGTTGCAATACTGACACAGACCAAAACAATAATTTATCACATCGTTAATTTTCATTATTCAATCAAGAAATAATTTAGGACTATGAAAAGATCAATTGCCAGCACTATCAAACATATTTGGTTATTATTTGAGCCGTGGCCTCTGCCGAAGCACCAGCATTTTCTCCAGATGACCAGCGCCTGTTGTCTGCTGCCTTGTACTTTTATGTTTTCTGACCAGCTGTTGCTTTGTGACTCCAGGTGAAGCCATGCCTGTGACCAAGAAGCCGGGGAGCTCTGTGATTGCTGGCTCCATTAACCAGAATGGCTCTCTGCTTGTCAGTGCTACACATGTTGGCATGGACACAACGCTGTCTCAGATTGTCAAACTAGTGGAGGAGGCTCAAACCTCAAAGGTGACTTAGGTGATTTGAGTTCTGCACTGTGTTTACCTGTTTTGAAGGTAACATTGAGCAGGTGTGTAATTTCTGACATTTTATATTTTTTAGGCTCCCATCCAGCAGTATGCAGATAAGATCAGTGGCTACTTTGTACCCTTCATTGTTGGCATATCTGTTGTTACGCTGCTCGCCTGGATCATCATTGGGTTTTTGGATTTCTCACTAGTGGAGAAGTACTTTCCTGTGAGTCTTCTTTTCAGACTGAATGTGTGACTGTACCAATCTTTTCAGTATAGTTACTGTATCTGATAATGTTCCTTATAACTATTTAACTCTCCAGTAAATGTAAAAGCCATTGTAATTAATTTGAAACAAAAGTTAACCAGTCACATTTCCTCCCTGCAGGGTTATGACAAGAGCATTTCCAGATCCGAGGTAGTGATTCGCTTTGCCTTCCAGGCCTCCATAACAGTGTTATGCATCGCCTGTCCCTGTTCCCTTGGCTTGGCAACCCCGACAGCTGTCATGGTGGGCACAGGGGTTGGAGCCCAAAACGGTATTCTGATAAAGGGAGGAGAGCCACTCGAAATGGCGCATAAGGTGTGTTAATGATGATACTCTGACACCCCGATACTGTATGTAGTCAGCCATTGATGTAACAGACCAACTGTCAGATTATGAAATGGTTCTGTTTTACTAGGTTACAAAACCACATTAGTCCAGATATTACACTGATAAGATATCCTAAAACATTTAAGGTTCAGTCTGACAGTATTTCTTCTTGACTTTTATCATATTACTTATATGATATATACAGGTCCAGTCAGTGGTGTTTGATAAGACTGGGACCATCACATATGGTGCTCCAAAGGTTATCCAAGTCAAGATAGTTGTGGAGGGGAACAAGATGCCTCGCTCTCGACTCCTGGCCATCGTGGGTACAGCTGAGAACAACAGCGAACACCCTCTGGGAGCAGCTATCACCAAATACTGCAAACAGGTTGGTGTCCACCTCACATTTAACACCCACACTCCACTTTCTGGAAATCTCAGATGACTGGTCCTCTACATGATCTAGATTTGTAAAATGGTGTATTAAACAATCCATTTCTATCTGTGTGCAGGAGCTCAGCACAGAGTCTCTTGGCACGTGCACAGACTTTCAGGCGGTGCCAGGCTGTGGCATCCGATGTCAGGTCAGCAACACAGAGACCCTGCTGAAACAGGCGGACAGCGACAGTGAGGACAACAACCAGCGTAACAGTGTCCTTGTCCAGATCAGCGACACCCGGATAACCACCAGCTCCCATCCACTCATCATGGACCCACAACCATTGAGTAAGTTGGGAAATGCAATCCAAACACATTGTTGTAGTCATGTATTCACACAAGTGCTGAAATATTGTGATGTCTTTCAATTGTGCATTTAAGTAATAATGGAATTAGTAAACTTGTGCTTCTTCCACTTTTATGTTTCTTTGCTGTTGTCTAACCCATGTGTTCTCTGTGTTTAGGCCTCATCCAGACAGCCACCTACGTCGTCCTGATTGGCAACAGAGAGTGGATGAGAAGAAATTGCCTGCAGATCAGGCCTGATATAGATGAGGCTATGATGGAGCATGAGCGCAGAGGACGCACTGCTGTTCTAGTAGCTGTAGACAGTAAGTAGTGCTGTTTAACATGAATCTGACTAATATCTTTTTCTCCATAATTTCCTGACCAGCTGCTTATAGTTATTATCTTCTCTAAAACATATGTAAAGGAAATTGTTGAAGTCTAATTGTTAAACATTTCTATTTGTGCGTAGACCTGCTGTGTGCAATGATAGCCATAGCTGACACAGTGAAACCAGAGGCTGAACTTGCAGTGCACACTCTGACCAACATGGGTCTGGAAGTTGTGCTGATGACCGGAGACAACAGCAAGACAGCACGGGCCATTGCTGCTCAGGTATGAAGAGTGTGTGTGTGTGTGTGTATAGACCTGGGTGACACTGACAATCAGTTATTTGTATGTTTTAGTTGCTGGACAATGACAATGTGACAGTATTCTGAGGGTGATAATCTGTCATTTTATTTAACCTATACAAACATATGTTAAATTAAGGTGGATGATGTTGATATAAAAGTACAATGTTGCCTTTGATCACAATTTTATAAATCGAAATATATAAATATTCTCATATGTTTTGTAAAGTAAATGTATTAATGCTGAAAAATATCAAAATGTAATTTCTTAAACATTTTGCCCAGTTTTACCATTTAAGTGCATTAAGCTGGAAAGGTTCTGTGTGTTTCTGAGCCTGTTCTCTGCCCATGCTCCAGGTGGGTATCAGGAAAGTGTTTGCTGAGGTGCTTCCCTCCCACAAGGTGGCCAAGGTGGAGCAGCTACAGCAGGCAGGCAAGAGAGTAGCCATGGTGGGTGACGGTATTAATGACTCACCTGCTCTGGCCATGGCTGATGTGGGCATTGCCATAGGAACCGGGACAGATGTGGCCATAGAAGCAGCAGATGTGGTGTTGATCAGGGTAAGAGTTTGAGCTTGGAGGATTTTTTGAAAGGTCTGTCATGAATTAATTTGTCCGCTTTATGCATCAGCTGTTTCATAAATGGCTATCAAATGTGATATTACCGCCCTGCAGCACAGAGGCAGTGTGAATTTGTAGTATCACAATATATGTACAGTATACAACACAGTATCATATGTCATCACTGACACCAAAAGTATAATACAGGTCATTTTGTAATATGCCATATTTTGATCAACATTTTATTAACATTGTTTGGACCTATCAAAACCTGAATAAAACCTTTTATACCTATAAACCTTTAAACCTTATTATCTCAAATGTGTTAACCGTTCTGCAGAGGGGATATAACTTCAATACCTTTTTATATTTATTTCTAAAAACAAATCATCTGATATTACTACCGTTTTCATTTAACCTTTTTTTTCCCTTGTCACCAGAACGACCTCTTGGATGTGGTTGGTAGTATCGACCTTTCTAAGAAGACTGTCAAGAGGATCAGGATCAACTTTGTATTTGCTCTTATCTACAACCTGGTTGGCATTCCTATTGCTGCCGGTAGGTGACTGCCAAAGATTACAAGATTTATTTAAATTATATCATCACACTGACGATAATCATTCAAATAATTTTGACCACAGCAGTAATATGAACTTTGTCTGTGCACAGGCGTTTTCCTTCCCATAGGTCTGGTGTTACAGCCATGGATGGGCTCTGCCGCAATGGCACTGTCATCTGTCTCTGTGGTTTTGTCCTCTCTTCTACTCAAATGGTAATGAGATGTTTAATGCTTTGTTGAGGCCTGTTATCTGTGTACTTTGTTTTTCACCCTTTGAGTTTAATCATCTAAACCGTTTTCCCAATCACTTTCTATATTTGTCTCTATATTTCTCTGTGTCTTTGTCTAGTTACACTAAGCCCAGTGCAGAGAAGTTGGAGGCTCGACTGGGTAACAGCAGGCGTCAGGGCAGCCTCTCTGATGTCAGCATCCACATTGGCATGGGTGAGATGCGTCGTCCCTCCCCCAAACTCAGCCTGCTGGACCGCATTGTCAACTACAGCCGTGCCTCGATCAACTCCCTGCGCTCCGACAAGCACTCGCTCAACAGCTTGGTGCTCAGCGAGCCCGACAAACACTCCCTGCTGGTGGGGGAGGCGATGTGTGAGGAGGAGTTTTGCTGAATATGTAAGGCTCACATGGGCCAGCCATGACTTTTGTATGCTGAAGTAGACAGTAACTACATTTATTGAAGGCTAGGCCATGGTAAGCTGAAAGGGTTACATTGAATAATGGCCCATCCATCTGCTGTAGGTGCCTCAGGGCAGCACTAAGGACTTGAAGAGAGCTTATATTCCCCTTGTTTTCTTTTAGCTCAACCACCGGATCGCATGCTCTTCAGAGCTTGCTGAGGTGATTTCCTCTCCTTCCGTAGCAGACTATCTTTTGTTGAGGTAACTGCCCTCGGGCACGCTCTTTGAACAACCCTTTGACACTTTGATCCTCTGAAACACTGCAGGGGCATGATGCATCTTCAGAGCCTTTAAGCAGATGTCCACATCCAGGGAACAGAGTGATGATCAGCTGTGCCACTGTGGTCATTTGCCAGTACAATCTTTAACATCTATCCAAAGACATTTTAACAGTGGTGCCCCTTGTACGAGTGGACACTACAGAGTTATATTTTAACTAATTTTCCTTGAATGGAAAATTATGATAACACTGTTGTATTATTATATTCCAGAGTATTTATATTACCCTTATTTATCTTTTTTTCCTTGATATCCTATGTGAACAATGAAATTGTTGAATCCAAATGCCAATTTTCATTTTCAGTCTCCCAAAATGTGTAATTACTAAACCAGGTAAGACAAGCACTCAATCTAAGAAGTCTTGTTACCTGATGGAAACTCATTGTTGTGCAAAACACCAGTTCAGTGAAATGTAAATGTAAGTTTGACCCAAGTGCCGATTGAAATGCCACCTTGGCAAAATCCAACACATTCCAAAGATAGCACTGTAGAGGTTACCTTGGACATAATGTGCACAAAGTGTGAACAAAGATAAGGTCAATGAGTCAAAGCAGAGAAGAGGAAGGCCGACTGTGAATAGTGACGTCAACTACAGAAGACTCTAGTCATAAACTTCTGTAGTTGTGTCAGCCATCTGAAGTTAATTATATAAGATGTCTGTCAGTGAATGTGAACATTATTCATTGTTAAAACTGTTAAAAACAGAAGTTGTTACATGAATGACATTGTTTGTGTTTGAAGTACTTTATTTGCTTGCTGCAAAAAGAAGGTTTGTGTTCTTTTTAACGTCACAGTTGGCAAGATGGTGTTACTGTTTCTAAGAGTTTCGTTCAACGATGTAACTTTGTTCATTTTTCTTTTTCATCTGATGATTATAATTCACGCTGATGCGCTCGATCAAAGAAACACCTTTTTGAACCCAGGGGAGCAGGAAACACAGCAGGGTCCGCAGACTAGACACAAGCTGTGTCTCAGCAGTTCCACCAAACAAGTTACTGACAAACAAAAAATAATTTCATAAAATCAAATTGTACAAGTTGTTAAATTGAAATCACACCAATTACATCTTGCACTTGTAAACAGTGACTGTTCAGTTGACTATGCTTTAGTTTTTCTCCTGTGAAGTGATTACAAATATTTTTTGCATTAATATCTCCTCTGTATAATCAGGAGATAATAATCACTTTCCAGCTATTCCTTGAATTTTTGTGTCCAAACGTCTGTAGTGTTTCTTTCTGGTGGAGAAAAGAACCATCAGATTGTCCTGCCACTTTACAGCGATGCAGTATGTTCTGTAGCTGTTACACCTTCTGAATGTTATATGCCAATCTGACCTTTCTGTGTATTGCTTTGTAAAGACGTCCATAGGACTTCAGATCTGTGTGCAGTTAAATTAATTGAGTCCACGCTTGCCATCATGCATACTTCTTCTGAACATCATGTGCCTTGGAATAAAACGCTTTTGTAACGTCACTCTGCCGTGCTCAGTTTAAACCAGAAGATGGTGCTGTAGAGCCACGTGTTCATAAATAAACACCGGATACAAGATTTCATCAACTTTATTTCATCCAGTTAGTCTAAACATTACATCACCCCAGTGTACTGCAAAACAATCAAATACCCTTCATTGTCATCTACTTAAAAATATTCATTTCAATTAATGCAAACTGTAAATGACTTTTTTCTCTTGAGTCGATTTGTATCGCTTTGGCTGTAGTTACATTTCATTTGATTTGGTAGTTTGAACTTTGTGAACATGTAAATTTAATATTTTTTAATACATTTAAGAGAGAATTAGTTTTCATTAGACACAGTCAGGGGTTAATGCTCAGAAATAATGTCTACCACTTAAGTATTTATCATCTTTTCTTAATCCATCTGATCAATGATTTACTGAAAAGCATTGTGGTCAGGAAACTGAACAAGTTTTAAAAATGTGCAGCATTTGAAATCTCTTACAACATTGTGCTTTTCTTGACTAACGCACCATAAAACAGCTGTAATTGGAAAATGCTACATTCAGTTACCTTGAACACTAGAATAACAAACTTCACTTCAAACCAGCTAGGGAACAGCTCCGACTCCAACATCTCTCTCTGGAAACACTGACCACCTAAAATGAAGTTACTTTTACAGCAATATATATATATATATATATATCAGTAGATTTACAGTATATTAAACATTAAACACCTTACAGAAATCACACACCATGATGAGCAGAAGACGCAATGAAAGCAAATCAATTCATTTCACAAGCATTTGATGTCTTCAAATTTAAAATGTAAACATTTGCATTAATTGAACCAAATGATTTCAACATACACTGGGTCCTAAAAATACATTTAAAATCATTTAAAGATTCAAAATGAGGATAGGTTGGTCAAAGATTTAAATAATTCTTGCGAGTTATGTGGCTTCAGTCCATCGTTTTCACTCTCATCCCTGATTTCAAAATATCTAATGATAAATCTGGTGTGTTGTTGTACAGTCTCTCTGATATGAAATTGTCCTACAATTTAACTTTGTGCACTAAAATACAGTAGCTGTTAATAAGGCGCATGAAGGCCATCATGGCTTCATACGCCAGCTGGGAAAAGGATTGCAGCCTTTTGGATGAATGCAATCTGGTACTCAGGCTGATATAACAGAGTTTACACAACTCTGTCCAAACATACCAGACTGACATTATCATCTGAATACTGACTACAACAAAAGTTACAACAGACTGCACCTACTTTATCTGCTCACCCGGCCACAGCTCTGTGATAGTGGGTGCTCATGTAACTGCATGTCACAATCACGGTGTACATATTTCTCACTTTAAAAACAAAGTATAGTGAAACACAAAGCAGGAGGTTGTTGCTGATGCGAGGTTTTAGCTGGGAGTTCCCACATCTCTCAACCTCACCAGGATGAGACCAAAGCAATTCTGCATGATGTTCCACTGGATTGAAATGTTACAGTCAACAGAGCAGTTCAAACAAATATTATGGATCTGTCTGTATACCATTCTTTCTTGAAAAATACTACAGTGAGAATATTGCCCCCCCCCCGCAATACTGATATCCATATCTAATGTAGACACCAAATGCACATATAAATGTACTATAACACCTTAAAAACAATATGATAAAACTGCCACATCAATCTAAAATGTGTCACTTTGTGCGGTAATAGTCAAACCTCTTAGGATGCTGCATTAAGGTACAGAAGACAGATACCATACAAGTCTGTGTAAGGCATGAATGAGTTGTTGAATTTTAGTGTGATCAAATACTGCGATCAGAAAATCCTGATTAACTACAGAGCCAGTGTGTTTTGCAGAAATGATCATTAATAACATTTGTTGCCACCGTTCGGCTCTCCTGAACGTAGCCTCGGTGTGACTAAATATACAGAAAAGTTAGTTTTCAGAGAAGCCATGTTTAAATCCCACGATACTCTTATGAGGAGTGGTTTGTTCATGCATGTTTGACAAGCAGAATAAATAGTACGATAAACACTGATTATTAAGACATCAAATAGCACCGTGTTGGCCCATCGATGGTTACCACCATCATAGTGTCACATTTTATAGGGTGGATCCCTGGAGAATTGCTTTCAGATTCATGATTAGATGTCATGAATGTCAAGGCTTGTTGAATGTCACTCATTTGGCAAAATGATCTGAATTAAAATGAATTAAAGTGAATGTCATTCTTTCAAACAATGTTAAGAGACCGAGGTCGTAATCGTTGATAAGAGGTCTAAAAAAAATGTGAGTACAGATTTGGCAAATGCATAAACTGCAGAGGTTTCTCAGAGGACTGATAAGTGTTAAGATCTGATTGCGATCAGTTGTAATGCAGGTACGAATTTAACTGCCTGTCAACCTTCAGTAGGAGACTATGAAAATGATTTGGCAGCAACATACGATCAACAAGTGACCAACTTAAAAAAAATATACTGCACAAGAAAAAAAAAAAAGTCCACTTTAAAATAATCTTACATGGGCCGCTGTATCTGTCGTGATACACATCATACTTTTCATCCGGCCCTGTCGGAGAAAAATCTTCTCTAGCAGTTACAAGAAAGTCACATTAACAAAAGCAAACATCTCGTTACAAAGAGACTGACTGAGAGAGGGAGTCCTCCGATACCCATCTGAATTGTGGAAATGAGGAGACACAAACTTAACTTTGGCACACTGAATGAGGAGGGCTGGCAGAGAGGCGAGGACTGAGCCTGCAGCTGTGTTATGGCAGTGTTTGGATGAGGGGGCTGCACACTCATAGCCCTTTGTTGAAGTAGACCCTCTCCACTCCTGGGTGGTTGGCCCGGATTTTCTCCTGCAGCTCGGGCTCCAAGCGGCTGACTGACATAGAGCTGGATCGGGGCGAGGAATGGGAGAAATTGCAGGGGTTGATGGGTCAAAAACATACACTGTAGGCGTATTATGCAACAGTTCAGGCAGAAAAGATTCATGCAAACTCTGCATATATTAACCAAAGAAAAGGCAACAGTCTGACTGGTTACTGTTACCTCAGAAGATTACATTTCACTCACCTCCTTTGAGGGAACAATGCGCAGCACAGTGGAGTGGCAAACACCAGGCTGAAAGAGAAACTCAACTCTATGAAACACACATGCATATAGTCCAGAACTTATTGTTCTAATATCATTTTATTGCCTAAAAATACTCCCAGTGGGCAAGAGTGGAGGTAAATTCAATTATGTGGTCATAGCAAGCTGGTTGTTTCATGTCTACAAACTAAAACAGTTACACAAATCATCAATTAGTCAGCAACTAATTGATAATCAATTAATTGTTTATCATTTTTCAATCTGAAATGTGAGGATTTCTTGCTTCTCCCTGTTTTATACCATTGTACATTTAATGTCTTTGTGTTGAACTGTTAGACAGATTAACAATTTGAAGACATCAACTTGTGATGGAGATATTTCATTCACCAGATCAGCAGATTCATCCATAGTGATAATGAATGTTAGTTGCAATCCTATTACAAAGTTTAATTTAATTAATTAATCAAGAAAATAACCTGCATGTGAATCAAATAGCTAGTAGTTGCAGTGCTACTGTGTTGTGTGTGTTCAAGTGCACAACAGGACACACTCTTGGAAACATCAGTGAGACACGAGGGATGTTACATAATGTATAATTTTTCAGAAGACATAGAGACGAGATATAGGGTTTAATGTTTGTTTAAATGACTGGAAATCCAGAGAGGTTGTAAGAATCTCCATGTTGAACAACCACTACTAGTTAACACGACTGAATTACTGAGTCACAGATAAGAGCTCTGAACTCACACAAAAACCAGGCATCAAATCATGATATTATCTTAGGGAACTAACAAATCTTATGAGCACATTCCCCTGGAGATACCTCACAATAACATGAACAGAAACATTTAGTGACATCAATCTTAGTATTACTGAGATTTCATGTCCTTGTTGTAGAATTCTAGCATGAAATTTTAAAGGAATTTGACATGGCGGCTTATCAGGTGGACCATCTCTGACGACTCACCAGAATCCCACCAGGCTGACTTGAATAGGTGCACTCATCCATGGGAACTTCTGAAAAGACCAGGCAGAAAAACGAATGAGGGGCACAAAAGCAGTGGTGAATTCCCATACTAGAGTGGCCTCATGTCGTCAGTGCTTTTCATTCCTCTGATGTGTGATTACTAAAAGGAGCCAAGTGGCAGAGACAGTGTGGAACATCAGGTTCCCACCATTTAGTTTAAAGCGTCATGGTATTTTAAATGATTGATGGATGAAGTTGAGAAGATTACTGCAGCAGGTGCATTCCTCTGTGGTTTGTGTCTTAAAGGACGCAACTAATTCAGAAATATGCCTACCTTCAGAAAGGCTTTCTTTTCCAAATGGTTCATTAGAAATGGAGGGATAGCTGAAAAGACACAAAATATTTCTTATTACTAATCCATTGTCAAGTAAAATTTTACAATTGCAAAGTTGGTGTTTTTACACTTGTGTTTTGTTTTTAGTTAAAAGATGCCATCAGCTGGCAGAGTGGGGTTAATGAACCTCACAGCAGGCGTCTAAATGAGCTGGTGACACAAAGATGTTCGTACCCATTCCTGGAGAAGCCATGAGGATTCTGGAGACCACAACCTGAGAGATAGCCTGCTGCGCAGCTTTCGTCGACTCTCCTAACCTGTTGTCATTCTCATCTGTTATAGGAATGCCGTGTTGAAGTTCTCTGAAGACAAGGAGCAACGCAAATTAAATCAGAGGAGGAATCCAAACGGTCATTTATTATACAGTGTCTACTACGATGAAGGGGTCTGTTGCAAGCATTTTAATCATTAGTGTTGTGTCTTCTGAAGGTCAAAGCCACTAGGTGTTGAAATTGCTCCTTACCTTTGTCTCATCAGTGGGATGTTGATGCAGTTAGCAGCAGCTACAGCAGCAAATGGAACAAACCGTCCAATCAGAGGTGAAACATGCTACAGGAGAAGAGAAGAGGCATAAAAAAACAGGAGGGAAGAAATGAAACACTTGGTTATGCTGTATCCTGA